CAGTTACTGAAAATAGAGTTGTTGCTCATGCTGATGATCGTGGAGAGAGGGTCCTGCATGCAACAGTGAACCAAAGGGAAGAGGTGCCACACTTCACCGACGAATATCCATATGTGTGGATTTTTCAAGTGGAGCATTATCTTAGGGTGAATCAAACCCGTGTTGACAAACAAGTGGAGACAGCTTCAAGTGGTTTTGCTGTAAGGGCGAAAGGTTGGTTCCAATGGTGGAAACCCAGAAATCCGATGATCAAATGAGAGGGATTTCGCTTGGCAGTCCTGCAAAGGTTCAACAGCTCGGTTTGCGGGAAACCATACGAAGATCAGACGACGTTCTTGACCGGTCTGAAGGAAAAAAATCGAGCGGGAGGTGCAGAAGTAAAGGCATACGAAAAAGGAACAAAAGAAATTACAAAAAGGAAGAAAAGCATGAGGAAGAGAGGAAGGCAGAGGTTGAAGAAGAAAAACAAGAACAACATGAGGTAGAAATGAAGGCGGAGAGTCGGGTTAAAATCTGGTCACATTCAGTAGCAGATATGAAGGGCATCAGGTTGTTAGCTCAATGTGAGAAAGAAAAGCATGAAAGAAACGAAGAGAAAGAAATCGTTGTTGGCCGACCTGGATCAAATGGAAATGGGTCATACACACGATTTGCACTTCTACCTAGGCCAATTTTACAGATGGAGAAGGAATTGGGAGAGGGTGGGTCAGGTTCGTGAAATGGGCCAAACAATTTTAACCACGGGCCCAATCCAAATAATAACACTAGGACCAATATAAACATTCAACTGAATGGGCTGGGAAGAGAAGAAAAGACAGGGGCCAAAGCAAATCAACTAAGGCCCAATATGAAGGGCACTCAAGGAGGTGTGGGGGTCTCTAATACAAACAACAACAAACCTATTGGGACTCTACAGGAAGCTGCGTCTTTCCAAGCGTCCTTCGATGGAGGTGCAAATGGCGCTGCAAAGGGCAAACAGAGGGCCACGAGATTTAGGCGCTGCAAAAGACTTTGTTCTATGGGCAGAAATGCCATTAAAAATAGAACACTATGTTTCAAGCAATGGGACCCAGGTGGAAGTTTTTTTTATATCACTTCTTCTCCTTCCTTCACCTTGAGGACAAAGTGAATTTTAAAGGGGGGGTATTGATGGGCCATGGGCCTAAAAATAGTGAATTAGTTAATTTGTTATGTAACTATTCTAAAATATTCCTGAAGTATAGGATAAAAGGTAGGAAGTGGGATAGTGTGAGGAGGCATGTATTCAAAATATTTGGAGTGGGGTTTTTGGAAAGGATCTCTTAGGATCTCTTTGGCCTAGGTATTTTGGCTTGGGAGTGAGTGAGGTCTTTTGGTGTCTATTTTCTACATTGTAATTCTTGTTATTGTTAATTGTTTAAGTTTGTAATTAGGATGAGAGCATTATTGCTCTGTATCGTTACTGCCATTGCTGGTTACTGCCATCTTTCTTGTTATTTCTTGGTATATTTGCTATTGAAGTTTTAGGTTCCATCATAATATAAAATAATCTAAGTAACTAAATGACATCACATCGGCAATAAATACATTTGACATAGTTTGGTTGAGAATAGACTAAAGGTTACAAACTAAACATAAAAGAATCTAAGGGTCTGTTTGATTAGTGTTTTATAAAACAGTTTTTTGTTTTTAAAAATAAAAAAACTTGTTTGATGTGAAGAGTTTTGTAAAATTGTTTTTGAAAAAAAATTTCTTTTACTTGTTTTTAGAACTAAAATTGGAGAACAACTTAGAGTTGTTTTTTTTTTCGTTTTCTAATTTTTTTTCCCCAAAAGATGTAAAACACGAAGAACAACTATTTTCATTAATGGTATTTTTGTAATTACGAAGCCACTTGATATTATACATTTGACAAATCAGTTTCCTTCACCCGATTGACCTCTTCTTCCACGCCATCAATGCCGGCGAGGTCGTGTTGATCGCAGAGGCTTAAGGTCTTGGAATGCAGCTAAGTGACCTTGGCCAGATCCAGCTTCTCTGACTAGTTTGCGGCGGCCATGAGATCTCAGAGCTTCTTGGAGAGGCGGAGGGCGCAGAAGCTTGATAAAATCACTTGACTGACTGGTTAGAAGGGGAAAATAAAAATAATCTAATCTTTCATACTTTCGATAACACTGGATGGTTAACGTGAGTGAAATTGAGAATTTTCGCAATGTTTTTTCTATTATGAATACCATTTATAAGTGGCTTGATTGGTTTGTATACATTGTTGCGGATATGGAGTTGTTCTGGAGCATTTTGATTATTTTTTCATTAGTTTACAATTTTAAATAATAGTTAAAAACAATTTTAAATAACAATTATAAAATGAAGTTGACAAAAAAAGTAATCAAATGAGTTTTCTGTTTTTTAACTTTGAAAATATGTTTTCAAAACAAAATTACCAAACACTTTTTTTATGTTTTTTAAATTTTAAAACTCTTTTCAAAACAATTTTATCAAACGGCTTTTTTCTCTCTTTTATTCTGAAAAACAATTTTTGTAAACTATTCTATGAAACTATTTTAAGAACAAAAAAATCAAAACACAACCAAACAGACCCTAAGTAGGGTGTGTTTGAAAGTGTTTTTGTTTTTTAGTTTTCAAAAAGTCTTTTGAATATGAATTTTAAAAACTGATTTTGAGAGTGAACAAACAAAAAAACTTGTTTGAGTGTAGTTAAATTAAAGTTATAAAAAAGTTGTAGTTATTTACAAAAACGCCTTTAATGAAATTTCAGAATTACAAAATTGCCACCGTAAAGTTATTGTTTTCAGTATTCAAATTTACGCATTTGCCATTAATGAATGCTGATAATTACGATCATGCCACCGTGAAAACTAAAAAAATCAAAAAACTGGATAAGAGAACATCCGTGGGTTGTTTTCCTTTTTTAGTTTTTAAAACTAAAAAGCAATCATTGTTTTGAAAATTATTTTGCAAAACAATCAATACCAATCAGATTTTTTAGTTTTTTAGTTTTAAAAATTTAAAAACTGTTTTTGAGAATAGGAATCAATCAGGACCTAAGTCTCTAAAACTCCTCCCCAAGGATGTATGTATTTGGTTTGGTTGAGAATAGACTAAAGTTTACAAACTAAACACAGGGTTGTAAAACTAAAACAGTTTGATTGTTGTTGTTCTAAACATAGGGTTCTAAACATAGCTCTGTTTGATTGTTGTTTTTAAAAACATTTTTTTAGTTTTCAGAACAAAAAAATTAAAAAACTCGTTTGGTAAGGCCTGTTTTGTAAAAAATGTTTTGAAAACTAAAACTATTTTTTTTTGTTTTTAGAATCAAATTTAGAGAACATGTCTGAATTGTTTTTGTTTTCTGTTTTGTATTTTAACTTTCAAAATTAAATAAATATAGAAAACAACTGTTTCCATAACTCTTTTACAAAAGAGTTTTAAGAACAAAAAACCAGAACAAAATCAAATAGAGTCAAGTCTCTAAAACTCCTCCCCAAGGATGTATGTATTTGGTGAGAATCGAACTCAGGTTCTCTTCCCACCTACTCAATCTGTGTTGCTGACTGAGTTACACCCATTGAGTTTTTGTTATGACTTCTTTATCCTAATAACATTATTGAAAAGAGATAGGATATTGTAACAACCAAGTATAGTTACTACTAATGTTACTACCAATCAATTTCACCGTTAGATTGGTTATCTTGATCCGACGGTTCTAATTTGATACTTATATAGCCCATTTCTCTTTGTTTCTCTCTCTTCCCTTATCTCTCTCACTATACTCTCTACACATAACCGCCGCCGCTGCCCATCGTTGTCGCTGCACTATACCCCTTTTCTCTTCTTTTTATATACTCTCTACATATTAATCTCTCTTAGAGTATATAATTAGAAAGGGGGTGAAACAAATTTTTTTTTTCCCGTCAGAATTCGATGCCACTTTTTAGATGCGCGCTGTATTTATCTTAATGAAATCAGATTCGATGCCACTTTGATTTGAACATCTGGGGAAGAATTAATGCAAAGCAACAAACAGTCACTTGTACCAAATGTACGCCTCACGGCTATGGGCAGCGGCGGCTGCGGTAGAGAGTATACTGAGAGAGAGAATGGAAGAGAGAAGGGCGCACAAATCTGAGAGGGATTAACAGCAACGGCGAGGCGGTAGAGTGAGAGGGGCGAGGCAGAGGCGGTAGAGTGCGGTGGCGACTATGTGTAGAGAGTATAGTGAGAGAGAGAATCAGATAGAAATGGGCTATATAAATATCAAATTAGAACCGTCGGATCAAGATAACCAATCTAACGGTGAAATTGATTGGTAGTAACATTAGTAGTAACTATACTTGGTTGTTACAATATCATACCTCCATTGAAAATAACGTTATCTCTTTTGTCATTTGAAAATAACGTTATCTCTTTTGTCATTTGAAATAACATTATCCCTTGTGATTTCCAAAGAATATTATTTTGGGATTGAGATTTTAAAAATTAATATAACCTAAAAAAAAATTAAAATTATTAAATATACTCCCAACCCAAAATGATAAAATTTTGGGATCATATTTATGCACGTAACTGGACAAACATTAAATTTTTAATCAAATAATAATAAAATGATCATGAAAAATTCAAGAATAAATAGGTTATAATTTCTTATAATATTCATTAATTTAAATATTTTTAAAATTATTCATAAATTTAACATATACGTGCAATGGATAGATGAATTTAAAGTGATTTATATTTCTTATGTTGTAGGAGATAAATTTTATCTTTTATACATATAAAAGTGCGTGAGATCCAATGTGGAGAGAAGAGAGAACAGATTTCATACATTTTCATGTGTGTATAAGAGATAAATTTATCTCTTGTAAGATGAGAAATTTAAAAAAAAAAAACAAAAATAAAGAAAGAAAAAGGGAACAATGGAGTGCAAGACATAAACAATCGATTTTGCAGGTGCAGGGGTTTTTGTTGGGTTTTGCTGTCTCAAGCCAATGCCCTGAGAAATGCATCGACGCCTCACCATCTTCGCCCACCAACTCCTCTCTAATCCCACCAATCCTCTCCGGTCACTTCCCCGTACCACCGCCACTTCCCTCTTCCACCACCGCCAACCCTCCTACTCCTCCTCTCATGGACGCCACCGCCTCTTCTCCTCCTTCACCCCCTTGCACCACCGCCGTCAACCCGATCGGGACGACCCTTCTACCCTCATGAAGGAAGATGGCGTCTCCCTCTGCTGCCAAATGTGGATCGACAACTTCCGCCACCCCGACAGGGTCGTCACCAACCTCACCTCCTTCCTCCGCCGCTTCGAATTGTGGGTCTTGGCATACCAAAAAGTCTGCACCGACGACACGGGCGCGTACACACCACGGAACACTATCCAAAGGTCCCAACTTGATGACCTTTTGGCCCTTCGCAATGCCGTTCTCGATGGAAGGTTCAAATGGGGTGCTAGATTGAAGTTCTTCATCAAATCCCCCAAAGACAAAACCGATTATGAATCTCTCTCAAAGAGGAAGATTAAGGCCATTTTGAGCACTACACAGCCTTCACCTTTTCAAGACAAGATCGTTCAGGAGGTTTTGTTAATGATTCTTGAGCCAATTTATGAGGCTAGGTTTTCTCCAAAGTCCTTTGCTTTTAGACCAGGGAGGACCCCGCACACGGTTTTGAGGGTCATTCGGAGGAGTTTTGCTGGCTATTTGTGGTATATAAAAGGGGATTTCAGCACTGTGTTGGATGGGATGAAGGTGGGGTTGGTGATCAATGCTGTTATGAGAGATGTTAGGGATAAGATGATTGTTGATTTGTTGAAAGCTGCTTTGGTGACGCCTGTGGTCACGACTAAGGTTGGTGATGGGGAGGATAAGAAGAAGAAGACGAAGAGGAAGTATCAGAAGAAGAGGGTGCTGGCTGAGGATGAGCCTAAGCCTGATCCTTATTGGCTGGATACTTTTTTTGGATTTGCACCTGAGGAGGCAGAGAAGGTTCCTAATTGGGGGCATTGTGGAGTTCTTAGTCCACTTTTGGCTAATATTTGTTTGGATGAGTTGGACCGTTGGATGGAAGGGAAGATCAAGGAGTTTTATGTTCCTTCCAAGAGTGATGTTATATGGAATAGTCCAGAAGGGGAAGCTGAGCAGGGAAACACTTCTTGGCCGGAGTTTGTGCCCACGAGTGGACCTGATAAAACTAGGAAGATGGATTATATAAGATATGGAGGTCATATCTTGATTGGTGTTAGAGGCCCTAGGGCGGATGCTGCAACTCTGAAAAAGCAATTGATTGAGTTTTGTGATCAGAGGTTTATGCTCAAGCTTGATAATGAGAGCCTTCCTATTGAACATATAACCAAAGGTATAATGTTTCTTGACCATGTTCTGTGTAGGAGGGTTGTGTATCCAACTCTCAGGTACACTGCAACTGGTGGTAAGATCATAAGTGAAAAGGGTGTGGGAACCCTTTTGTCGGTCACCGCAAGCTTAAAACAATGTATTAAGCAATTTAGGAAGTTGAGCTTTCTCAAGGGTGATAGGGATCCGGATCCCCAGCCTTGCTTTAGAATGTTTCATGCCACTCAAGCTCATACTAATGCTCAAATGAACAAGTTTTTGTCAACCATGGTTGAGTGGTATAGGTATGCAGACAATAGGAAAAAGATTGTTAACTTCTGCTCTTACATCATAAGAGGCTCACTTGCAAAGCTATATGCTGCAAAATACAAGCTTCGTTCACGTGCTAAAGTATACAAGATTGGTGCGCGGAACCTGAGCCGTCCACTGAAGGAGAAAAAAGGGCAGTCTCCTGAGTACCACAATCTGCTGAGGATGGGTCTTGCCGAATCAATTGATGGGCTCCAGTATACAAGGATGTCTCTTGTACCGGAGGCAGATTACACCCCATTCCCTAGTAATTGGAGGCCTGACCATGAAAAGTCATTGATAGAATACATAAAACTAGAAGATCCAAAGACTTTGGAGGAGCAACAGAGTTGCATAAGAGAACAAGGTCTTGTTTCATCTCAAGATTATATTTCAATGCTTGTTTGGAATTACAAAAGGAATTCCATTCCTATGGACCATCTCTCCTTAATAAGGAGCAATGAAAGTGTTGCAGCAAATCAGCATTTGCTAGTTGGCTCAAACCAGGACGACCATGACTGCATAAACAAAGAGCAAGAGAATGATGCAAGGATGAATGCAGCACAAATGTAACAGAAGGTTTTGTAAGATGCACTTATAAAGATATACTTCTTTTGTATGTAGTCTTTGAATATGATCTTTCAAGATATTTTGGACTCATTGAGAATCTGAGATATAGGCTTTTCATGTAGTTCCCTCCCTTGCTTGCACGTAGGGGTGTGTAAAATAACCGAACTGAATTGAACCAAACCGTAATTTTCTGAACCTGTTTTGAAAACCGAATTGGTTTTATAAACCAGTTGAAAAATTAAACCAAACCAAAATTACTGGTTTGAAACCGTCTCGGAACCAGTTCAGAATGGATTTGCATACTTGAACCGGTTCTGTACGGGTTTAAACTGGTTTTGAACCGGTTCTGAAAAAATAAAATCAGTTCGGTTCGGTTCAGTAAAAAGTTTGGTTCGGGTTTACCCATCTCCACCCTTACATAGTTGGTCTTAACCCATTATGCTTTATATTTGGGTGGTAACACCACTTTGTCCCTTTTCTTTTGTTCTTTTCCCTTCCTTCCTTCCTACTTTCCTTACCTTCTAACATGAAGTGTATTTATTAAAATATTTTATGGGAATGATAACAATTACTTATATAAAAACCATTGATGTGCTTTCACTTAATAGATTAACTTTTATGAGAGTTAGTCCTTGACTTGATATTAGAACCTCTATCTAAATAAAGTTGAATCTCAACACAAGGTAAAAATAAGCTTGTACTTAGTCCATGCTGCAAGTCCATGTGCAAGTCCAAAGGCCTCTCGCATGAGGCAGTGTATTAGAGATATAGAGACCATTTCACTTAATAGTTTAAGCTTTTGGATAGTTAATACTTAACCATAACCTTAACTCCTGTTTTTGTGATGTGATTATCATGATACAAGGGCTAAGTATTTCCTAAATTTTCATAAAAACGTTTTGCTTAAGTTGGAGTGTAAAAATATCATGCTGCCATCTAATTTTTACTTTAGGATTTTTGCTTCAGTTTCAAGCTCATTTGGTGCTGTGGTGGTCATCTTTCCAAGTTAGTTCTTGGTGAATCAGCAAAAACTAAAGGAACAAGTTTCTCTATTTTTTGCCTCAAAACTCCAATAGATATACATGATGACATCATGATATACTTAATGACAACCTTTTTAACTACCGCCCCAGTAATGATTGTTTCACACTAGGCCACAACTTTCTTAAGCAGTTAGCATGGTGCTGTAATCAATTGATGGGATGATACTCTTTTGTTGAGTAACTTTTAAATATTTTACTTATAAGTTTGTCATTCTGATAAACCATTGTTACTATCATTAGAGGTAGCAAAGTGGGCGGGGCGGCATCAACCGCCAAAAAATGAGTCAGCCCGTCCCACCCTGTCCCATTTAGCTGGTGGGGCGGGTTGGCCCGCCGAGCCGAGCTCGTTTTGCCGGCTCTAACTATCATGACTGCCACTAACAACATTCAAGCCTTTATCCCATTGAGAGGGGTTGGCTACATGGATTCTAGTATGCTGTTGTGCCTGATCCTGTATCATGGATTCATAAAGTCCCTTGTATCGTATATCTTTCTTAAACTCTTGGAATGAATTTGTGTCAGTTTTACTACATTGTCTCTCATAACTATTTACTAGTCTTTCCCTCCTTGTCCCAGCACTAGCTAGCTCCCTCCATCCCTCTTCATTTTTTGTTTTCATTTGGCTTTTGGGGGTTCACATTTTATCCAATATCCATTGGTATATGTGAATTCAAATATCTGCTACACTCCTTAATTTCTAGATGCTTGTTGAGATTCTTAAAATAGGATGAACGCATGTATTTCTTGAAGTGTTAGTGTGTGTTCCCCCTTTGCCCTCTTCTGCTGCATTGGTCTATGAATTAATACTCTTCTACCTCTTTGACTTTTAACATTGGTTTTCCACTTTTCGGGTTAACAGTTTACCTACCTGTTTGTGACTTTGTCATTTGCTTTTGCTTCAATTAATTGTGTTGTTATGTTAGCTGCATTGCCATGTTGAAATATCTGTTTAACTCAATTGCCTGTAGTCCTGTAACTCCTGTTGTCATTCATTATTTAGAATCTCAAGTTTTGGAATTAATGAATGCCAAATGCTACACTTGGCATTTTATTTGAATCTTTTTGATGTCCAACAAATCTTCTTCTTTTTTTCTCTCTCTCTTTTCAGGTTGATATGTTCTTTCTTTCACCTTCACACCATGGATGCTTGCCAGAGAAAGGATATAATAACTGAAGAGTGGAGAGTTCTTTCAGGCAAGCGCTGAGTCGAGAAAAATATTTGGGATTGCCACTCTGCTTGTGACCACTGGGCTACAAGATGGAGGTAGCACTTAAAAATGTGGAAAATAACTCCACATGCTGCTTTGGAGTGCTATATTAGTGAGTCCACAAGAAGGATGATGCAGCTTTCTATGCAAGACTAAGAAAGCGTGTTCCTTGTGGATGCATACGATAAGGCAAAAAGGGAATTGAACTCCAACAAGATCATTTCAAATATCATGTTAAAATTTTCTAAATTTGATTATTTGTTCATACGTACTTGTCCCATTTTTTTAATGAGTTGAGTAAATCTTCATATATGTATATTTTTCACCCTTTTCTGTACGGAGATGCCTTGAACTCAGAAGCTGTAAGAACTTGCTGAATTTGAAAGCAGTGTACCGGGAGGAAGAAGCTTTATATTTTATTTTTTTGTTATTGATTACACCAAAAGGGGGGAACGAAGAAAGGGAGCATAAGCATATCTGCTATCAATATACTTATATATGTTGGTCACTCGCGTTTTATTTTTTCTTAATACATGACTAATGCATGTTTGGTATAAAATATAGAATAAGGCTTGATAGTGTAAAGAATCAATTCAACCCAAAAGTTTAAGCTATTGGGTGAGGTTACATTAATGGTTTTATATATCTCAACACGCCCCTTCACATGAGAGCCCACTGAGCTTGAAGGGTGGACAATGCACAAGTCCACCTACCTGTGTGAAGAAAGAAATTTCACTAGAAAGAAAGTGGGAGGCGGTGAGGATCGAATCCGGTACACCGATGCTCTGATACCATGTAAAGAACCAATTCAACCCAAAAATTTAAGCTATTGGGTGAGGCTACATTACTGGTTTTATATATTTCAACAGATAGTATAAGACCTGATTGTATAAGACCTGATTATATTTTAATATTATCCAGCGTTTGACATGATATTGTATAAGATAATACATTATATAAGATAATATTATTCAATATTTGAAAATGCACTATATAATACTAGATAGAATAAAAATAATTATTTTTAATAAAAAATACCCTTTAATAAAGAATTTATATAATTCTACCAAATACTCGACCTGACATTGCTCAAACAGTGGGAGTATTGAGCAAGTATATGTCCAAGCCAGGAAAGGAACATTCGACGGCGGTGAAGTGTGTGTTTCGTTATCTTCGTGGTACGTCTGACCTTGGGTTATGTTATGAAGGCATGAAGGGCTCAAGGGGACAGACATTATTAGAGCTAAGATATTTTGTGGATGCTGATTGGGGAGGTGACATTGATAATAGAAGGTCGACAAGTGGATATGTTGTTTCCTCATTTGGCGGAGCTATCAATTGGATGAGTAAAAGGCATATCACCGTTGCTTTATCTACTACAGAGCTGAGTATATGGCCTTAACACATGCTGTTAAGGAAGCTATTTGGTTGCGGAGGTTGTGCAAAACGCTTGGCTTTGCACAAGGAGAGATGATCGTTGGGTGTAACAGTCAGAGCGCCATCTTCTTGGCTAAGAACCCAGGTTTCCATTCAAGGACCAAGAATATCAGTATACAGTACCACTCCATCAGAGAGAAGATTGAAGACAAAGTTGTATTGCTGGAGAAGGTTGACACAAAGGTCAACAGTGCTAATTTTCTGACCAAGGCAGTGACTTCAGAGAAGTTTGAATGGTGTACAGCTGCATTGAGATTAAAGAAACATGCGAAGCATTCACCAAGTGGTAGAATGTTGGGTATGACTCATACTTCGCATGCTGATGAGGGCCCTTGTTGTCGGGGTCAGCAAAAAGGCAACTGGGGTCCTGCTCCCAGGTGAGCGGGATGGGGACTGGGAGGCAGCGCCCCCAAGGAATAAATCTTTGGTGCCACTGTTGTACCTAGATTCAATGCATCCCATCAATGAGAGCATTATACATCAGAGGAGAGAGACAAAATTTGATAGAAAAAAAATAGAATTTTAGCTGACATGTAATATTTTCATTGGTGGGATGCACTGAATCTTTGGTACAACAGTAGTACCAAAGATTTATTCGCCCCCAGGCCTGTACAGGTTAGGTACTGTTGTGGGCCTCTGATTTATTGTAATTTTCTCTTTTCTTAGTAGTTTGAGCTTGAACCCATAAATAGCTGCGGCTAAAATTTTCTAATCCTATTTATATTCTCCTTGTAAACCAAGTGACTTGTAACGAGTGACAGTGAAGTGAATATAGTATAGACAAGCTGGACAAAGCCTAAATTGAACGAACCAGGATAAATCATTGTGTCTATTCTCTCTTTCTCTTTTCATTTCTGATTTGTGTAATTGTCGATTTCCAAGTGACCGTGATTTACACTTATTTTTGTATATCTGTTACCCTTCTCAGCTAGTTTAAGATAAACGTCTGGTTTGAGACAGGTTATGGATTTACTGCCCTTCTCAACTAGTTGAGATAAAAGGTCATATACTTCGAGATAAAGGTAATTTATTAACTTTATTGATTTCATTTATTGCATTCTCAATTAGTTAGTGATGTTAATGTTGATATTTACGTAGGTAAGTTAGGCAAAAATAATTCTTAGGCAAGGGATATATCTTTTTAATCTGTTCATGCCTCTAATATAATACTGCTCAATCTTGAGTTTCGTATAATTTTACCTGCCATCTTACCAGCACAACATTTTACAGGAAAACTAATGCTGTGTATTAAAAGGACAAAATCAAGTGAGATAAAGAAAAGAATTGAGCTCAAATTACTAGTTCATGAACAACAATAATGTCTTAAATACAATGAATTAGACTAAAATACGACTAAACTGGGGCGTATCCCAAGTTAGTTCTCTAGCCACCCGCTTCAATAAGCTCCCATAAATTGTGCTTAACCTGTTAACAGTGAACACACAATCAATCATTTGTATTATACACATACGGAAGCCTATTAAAAACAAAGATAATCTGTCTGTCACAATCACAAAACATACCACTTAAATATAAGCTGATGATTATTACTGTCACCATAATGGTAGATATACAAGCCCTTACACCGACAGCAGCTGAGGTTGACCTGCACAATTGATAGCTTCGTCAGTATTGTTGAGATATATAGTCTCACATTGGTTGTATGTGCAACTAATGTGGAGTTTATAAGACTTTGGGCACTCCCACCCTTTGAGCTAACTTTTGGGGTAGTGTATCCTAAGGTTCTTTGCATGGTATCAGAGCCTCGTGTCCCGGGTTCAAAATCTCGTCGCCTCCCACTTTAAAGTGAAATTAAAATAAAAAAAGCACAAAAAGGTAAACCAAAATTGGGCCTGTGCAATATCTACGCTTCTAGCCCAATGGGCTCTCGTGTGAGGGGGGCGTGTTGAGATATATAGTCTCACATTGGTTGTATGTGCAACTAATGTGGAGTTTATAAGACCTTGGGCACTCCTACCCTTTGAGCTAGCTTTTGGAGTGGTGTATTCTAAAGTTCTTTACAATTACAAGTATAACAGGAGCAACTCTTGTCAAATTGAAAGTTGATAATGACCACTGACCACTGACCAATGGCATTGAACAAGAAAGAAAAATACTAAATGAAGTGTAGGTGTGTTATAATGCTTTTCAATAGAATTAATTCCATTGTGATGTTTCATTGAGTTTTAATCCTGCTTTTACAACTTGCTCCTTCTGACATTCTTCATGCACTAAACAATACTTTAATAAAATGATTGCAATAAATGATAATCAAACAAGTGGAAGGAAAATCTAGAGTGAAGTTAACGACATCAGCCACTGACTAAAAAATGCAGCATAAATCAGTTAACAACGAAGAACGACCCGAACAGAATGTTCTCAACAAAGTGGAGTTGGAAGTGCTGGAGCAAGGAGAACAAAGCACAATAGAGACAGTATAGATTTTTATTTTTATTGAGCATAGATCAAATAACATATAAAAGCTTTCATAATTTAAATGAAAATTACCTTTGTACTAGGTCCTTGACAGATTCAGTGATCAATCCAAAACCAAAAGGAAAAAGTGGATCATAGTGAGGATCCCCAACATTCATTGGGAGTTGATCTACTGATTTGAACCACGTCCTTGCAAGCTTACCACTGAAAGCATAGTCACCAAATAGGACATCTGTAACACCTTGGCCCTCAGTGCCTGGTAACCATGCTGCCACCAATACATCTATAGAGGAAAGATATGGTTCAATCACGATAGGTCTTCCAGAAATGATGATAACCACACACTTAACAGTCCCACAGACGTTGCTGATGATATTTGGACCAGGATCTATCATTGTAAGTGTTGCGCTGTCCCCAGCAGTCTCAGCATAAGCAGGCTCACCAACTACAACAATGGCATATTCAAAGTTGTTGGACTTAACAAAATCACCATCAGGGTTCTCACTAAAGACAACTTCTGCGCTTGGATCAACAGCTGATTTTATGGCGCTGAGAATAGTTGTTCCTGTCCAAGGAAAAGAAAGCAGTTTCAAAGAGGTGCACATAGTAGTTACAGAAAATGGAAAACCGCAAATATGTTTTAAAAAAAATGTTATTTATCAAAGCAACTAAAGGATTTAGGAAAAGCTGCTTCTGCTCGTCTGATTTGACATGCATGCAACTACCTGCTATTAGTTATTAGAAAATACGCATCAAAAGCTTAGTGCATATTTATAACAATGACTATTATCCTGCATTGCTGCACATGATTATATAATTTTGGTAAGTTCAAATAAAGAATGCTCATTGATTACTTCTCTTACATATCAAAGTAAATACATAGTTTAGTACATCTGGAACCCAGAATCTCATGCTTCCATGGGCCAAGACCTCAGCTTTCTATGAATGTCTGAGTCACTTACCCCTAGTATCATCGTTGCCACTGAATCCTTGCCATTTGATTGTCCACCCACCACATTGGTAACCCAAATTATCGGCATGAGTACCAGCAACTAGGATTTTTCGGGCTTTCTTTGAAAGAGGCAAAAGTGGAGCACTTGAATTTTTCCCATTCTTAAGCAGCACTAGAGATTTTCTCACGGCTTCCTTTGCTAGGTCCCTGTGTTCCTAGTTAAACAACATAATCTTATATCTCATGACTCTCACTGTATTAATTATGCTAGGATAAATTTAAATCACAGGAAACAAGTAATGCCTAAGTTGCATACCACTTTTGTCATTAAATCACTTGCAGGCATCAGGGAAGGTCAATGCAGAAAGGTATATTAACAAAGAATGTCAATATATTCTGTTTAGTTTCTTAACAAAAGTAGGTTTGAAGATTTTTTTATTTTTATTTTTTTTACAAAATTTGCCGTCAACTTGAAGTATCAGACAGTAGGTGATCATCTGAGATGGTTTGAATATCAAGAATCAATCCCAAAGGGAGGTCTTTAGTTCAGACCAATTGGACATGGTTGGGTGGATTTTGGATTGGGATGGTTTGAATGACTCACCTGGCTACCAAGCTCGTTGACTAAGCTGAAATCAGCTAGAGGATTCTCAAAAAGACCCATGGTGAACTTTACAAGCAAGATTCTCTCCACAGCATCATCGATACGATCTATTGGAATGACATTGTTCTTGACCAAGAGTGCAAGATCCTGAATGAACTCGTCGTATTTGTAAGGGACCATCACCTGTAATAATTAGTCAACAAAAAGGAAAACTGAGTTCTATAACCCTATACTTCAGTAAGCATTACATTGTTTCATGAGCTATATTTAAGCAGAAATTTTATTCACTCCAGTCCTGCAGGCAATTTCAGCATAAAGAACAGACTAACCATATCAACACCTGCTTCAATGGCAGCCTGGACAGAGTATGAGTAGTTTGAATCGGGTGGTGTTGTAATTTTGTCAATACCTTGCCAATCTGAGATGACAAATCCCTGACAAACAAATGAACAAAATTGTGTTGTTAGTATCCATAATATGAACCATGCTGATTAAAATTGGGAGCTGAAAATGAAATAAAGACAGGCTGTACAACAATAGAACATCATTTTGGTTTATTCTCACATAATACTTGATAATATGGTTCAAATAGCAATATAAAAAGAGCAACACCAATTTCAGCGCATGTTCATGGATATCTCAAGACTTATGAGACTAGAAATTTTATAGTAGATCCAATAAGAGTGAATATTAAACTTAATAACAGTTGATTGATGCTGAATGATTTTTAAAGAGAACTCATTTATGAAATAAATGATTTTAGAAAGGTCCTTAGATATGTCTCCTCAGACTATAACCTTATGGGACAGTACACAATTATTGAGTTATAGAGCAGCCAGCATGTGATAGAAATATCAAATGCTAGTAAAATGTTTCAAGGAAAATTGTCAAGACAACATCTCGATATTTGAATTAAATATCAAATAGAACTGACTTACTAAAGAAAAAAACTCATATAATCAATGATGATCAACAATGAAGGCCTTAATCAGTTAAGTAGAAAATATATAGCCCTGAGATATATTAACAAGTTACACGAATATTGACTTGTGAAAGTGAATAGGATATAGTTTCGATCGGAAAGATGGCAAGCAGCTAAATGAAGTATGCTAGCAATGTCCATAGGCTCAGAGTCCTGATCTTCAGCAGTTAATATTGACACAACATTGACTACAAAAAACTATGGATAGAATATGATCTTTAAATTCCTTTTAGACATTTTTAAAATTTTAATACAATTAATATACACCCCAGATGACCTCCATATATGGGCTGTTTTTCATGCTTATACTCACATTTGTGTATTATATAATTTAATATCTATGTCTGTGCCCAATCTTGTGATTCGTGTCACTATTGTAGGATTTTCTTGTGTTTCCATGTTCAAATCATGTTATTAGTCTTCCACCCAACCTCGGGTCTGTTTCTTATTAGACAGACAAGAAACATGACAGTCAAACAAGTGAGAAACATTACTGTAAAAAAGCATTTGGTGGCAGCTTCCATTGCATAGAACAACTGTACCTCAACATGTATTAAGTAGCTAAGTATGAGAAAAGAAGAATACAAAGTATCCAATCACCTTAAACTTAAGGGTATTCTTGAGGAAGCCAGTGACTAGATCACGATTTGCATGCATCTTTACCCCATTCCAACTGGAGTATGATACCATGACTGTAGAGACCCCCTTAATGATGGAATCAGAATAGCCAGGCATGTGAAGGCTCAGCAATCCATGCCAGTCAATCACTGTGTTGTTCTCATTTATTCCCTTTGTTGTACCACCATCTCCAACGAAGTGCTTAGCACAAGCTGCTACCTTAGTCCTGCGAGAAATATATAAACATAAATGAAGGATAGAGGGACAAAATGAACCTTTTATATATCAGTAACTACATAAAAATACAAGTAAATCATGTAATTGTAATTTTTTTTTTCATATTTAGTTGCAACTTAATTTTTGTGGTTGACATTAATAATAGCTAATTGAGTAGTATCCCTAGCTAGGTGAACTGTTGTTGATAGTGTTTTCCCTAAAGTCAGCCAAACTGTTATTAAGAGAAACCTCTTAAAAATACCCTATTAACCGAATAAAATTTAAATTATAAATCAGTTTCCATTAAATCCAGACCACATGGTTACCAGAAACACAGATCAAATGCATACATCATATCAACAACTTGCAGATAAAGAGGAATTGTGCTACCTTTTTCAACACCTTAGTTAAAATGTATAAGAATCTTTCAAATATAAAGTATATTAAAATTTAAATTTATCAGTTACTTAAATTAAATTAGCAATGTAAAATCACTAAAGATCCATGAACTATATGAGCCAGACAGGACCCAGGAAGTTAGGAAGTTATAGATTTAGTTAGGTGGTTATAGTTGGAAGGGTTGGGGCTTAACTTAAATAGTAGGAGGAGTAGAAGGAAAGGGATTCAGATTTGTTATAGAGCAGTGGCTCAAGTGTAATAGGAGAAAACCTTTGTTGAAGGGAAAAATCTTGTAAGGAGAATTCTCTCCTCTCTGTTTGTGTTTCAGTCCTCACTAAGTGTTCTTTTTTCTTTCTATCTTCCATACATTTTCTCTGTTTTTATTTGAGGGTTCGTAAAAGTGCCAGACTCTATCATCTTTCTAAGGGGTAGAAAACCAGTAGATTAGGCATCAAAACCATACATCATTATAAAATGTGTACATAAAATGCCTGAAGAAATAATGAAATGCACTCTTCATTTGAAAAAGACTTTACTATCATTAATTTCATACTTGCCACCAACATATGGAAAACCCTTCCTGTAATTAGCAGGGATATTTCCTTGTAGACCAGGTATGATCTCTGTCATTTCTTGCACAATTTTAGGATCCTCGCTATAGCTTTCATAACATCGACCCCATCTTGGATCTCTACAAACCTATAAATAATGCTTCAGGAGTAATCAGGAAAATTATAAAGAAAAAATAGTACAAATTTGCAACCTCAAACTTGTCTAACAAGAAGTATTCTACAAGTTTATCATTTAGACTCTTCATTTCATTTACCGCAATGCATGGAGCAAATACATAAGGAATCCCTGTAGCTCTGACTTCAAGAGCAGTTGCAGCACCAATCCTTTGTGCCAGGTCAGGATCCCTGTTCATCAAAGATTATTAGAACAGAACCAATGGTGGATGCATCCAATAAAGCATACACACAACTTAAGGTACCAATATAACACCATTAAGATTAAGATCATCTGTGTTTTAAACCTGCAGAATTGACCGAAAAGTTTATACAACACCCAAGTATATTGCAGGTTGAATATAATAACTGCCAACAGCAAATTCGTTTTAGTTCTATCATTCATATATCATACATTCATACTTCATATGCAGCAACAGTTGCTCAAGAATGATGAAGTTTTGTTCAATAAATAAATTTTTTTGAAACGGTTCAAGTGACAAGAACCTTGAGCCAGGCAAATTATCAATTTATCAAATACCATGTTACATATGAAAATTGTAGAATCAAATGCAGATAAAAAAAATAAAAATAAAAACTCAACTTGCCTGGTACATCCAAGCCCAACATTATGGGGAAATATGGTAGCATTAAAGACATTATTGTGTCCATGAACAGCATCAATCCCATACATCATTGGGATGCCCAATCTACTTGCCAGAGACCCTTTCTGAAATTCATTTATCATATTAACCCAATCTTCAGCAGTAGCCCTTGGAAGGGGTTCACTGCCGCCACCACTCAATACACTCCCTGCACACAATTAAAAGAACCGGTTAATTGATATTGTCTCTTAATAATGTCATCATTTCCATTTATTTCCTATTCTTAATTCAAATTTTTGTGAATTACTAATTCCTGGCTTCCTTCATTATCCTATTTAGCTTATAAAGATCTTATGAAATTGTAAAAACTAAAAAGATTCATTACCCAACAAAAAAACCTAAAAAGATTCAAAAATCTATCCTGAGTCATTAATGAAAATGAATTATGTATGCTAGGCAGAATTACACAGAAGAAATTCTTTCAACATAAGTGAATAGGAACATGACAAGGAAAGGATGTCAAGCAAATACTGGAAAACAGGATATTCATCACCACCAAAACATATAGTTTAAAGGAGTTATCAAACTTGAAAACAATTAAATGCAATGTGAATAAAAAAAAAAACATGACAGAAAACTAGAAGCTTGGTTATAAATTGGTTTATTGCCTGGACATGAAAGTGCAACTTTAATTCAAACATTATTCATTGAGAAGAAAAAGGAGCTTTATACCTATGAAATTCTTAGTTCTTACCTATGAAGTTGGTTTTCATAACATTAGCATTGGCAACACTCCTATCAATTTGAACCATTTGACCAATCTTCTCCTCCAGAGTCATTCGACTCAGCAAGTCGTTAATCCGAGTTGCAAGAGGTTGTTTTGGATCTTTGTATTTCAAGTATTCAACTTGAGCTTCTCCAGTTGATGCCAACCACCAACATAGCCACAAAATACCCAACAAATGAAACAACGTCCTAGACATCTTGAATTTCCCAGCTCAAGCTTCACCTGCAGAATTGGAACAGAAGAGAAACAAACCCAATAAAGATACAGTTTTTTTATTTATACCCCACTTGGTGTCTAAAGGTAAATGAAAGAGCAACTAAAGAAAAGCATATCCAATGAAATGGGGTTTAAGAATACTCTACCCCTTTACCTTTTTTTACAGTTTTTTTATTTTATTTTACTTTTTAAGAAAATGGAAATGTGAAAAGGGATATAAAGTATATAACCAACAAAGATCAAAGCACACTTTTTTGCAGCAGAAAAGAAATTTTCACAGCAACCAAACAGACACTGAAATTGAAGGAATGAAAACAAGCAACAATAGCACAAGTAGGTGTGGGGGAAGAAGTGTGTGTCACATAGGGAGAGAGAGAGAGGGATGACTCACAACGAAAGCAAAAATGGTGACTTTATGAGATGCTTTTTCAAAAAGTAAAAACTTTGGATCCGATGGACAAATGGGGTGAGAGAAATAGTGAAAATGGCAGAGTGGGAAGCATAGAGTATGGATAGTAGTGGGAGACACTTACCACTGTTTGCGTCTGAGTTGGGCGGTTTTTTCTCTTTTTTGTGCAATGTGAAGGTTGTTGCCTAAGAAAACGTGGTGATTTTTTTTTTAATTATTTTCAGATAATTTCATAGATCTTCTATGTATTAATTTAAAATTAGGGAAGAATTCAGAATTAAAATTTTAAATTTCAAAGATGATATTGAAATGATCGAATACATATTTTCGCTCTCAATTATTTAGTTCTTATACGTTAATTAAACTATCATCATTTGATATAAAACGATAATTTCATAGATCTTCTATGTATTAATTTAAAATTTGGGAAGAATTCAGAATTAAAATTTTAAATTTTAAAGATGATATTGAAATGATCGAATACATATTTTCACTCTCAATTACTTAGTTCTTATAAGTTAATTAAACTATCATCATTTGATTGAAAACGTGCTGATGATGACAACATTAACAAAATGTTAATGGAGGGATAGTTAGTGGAAACTGGAGTTCCATTTTAACATGATGATACCATGTTTCAATTATTTATTGATAGATTAAAATTGTGAACATTAGCAATTAAACTTAGGGATAGGTTATTCTACCTACTCCCTTCTTTTCTACCTTTTGCCTACTCATTTCATCACCGTTGGATTACAATCTAATCTAACGGTCCATAATTGCGAAATAAAATAATTCTTTTTTTCCCTTTCTCTTTTCTTACTTCCTCCCACACCTTTTCTCTCTCCTCCCCTTTCTCTCTTCCTCTGCGATCCGGACACATCCTAAATCATCGTCCTTATCAGGTTTATTTTCACCCTCTTTCAGAAGCTTCACAATGAACTTGAGAATTGCACTTGTGGATGCAAACAAAGCACATAGCTTATTTTGGTTTACGAGAATCTATGGCCGCGTGCATAGAACTCAAGGTTTTGATGGCAAAGAATGAAAAGTGATTTTGCACCTTCCTACTTACATGAATAATGAAGGAACCCAAATATTGTAGATTATCAATTCTACAATTGTACAGTCTGTTGCAATCTGGTAGTCTAGAAAAATCTCTTCTTTTTCTTCACGAATCAAGAATCGCCTTTTAAAAAGAAGGTCAAAATAAAAAATAAAAAAAATAAACCGTATAAGAACGATGATTTCAAATGTTGTGGTCGATGAATTGCATAATGCTTCCGCGTGTTCACCTCGGCGGAGATCAGAGATAAAGGGAAAAAAAAAAGGTATCGAGAGATCAAAAGGATGTGTCGAGATCGTAGAGGAAGAGAGAAAGGGGAGGAGAGAGAAAGGGTGTGGGAGAAAGTGAGGAGAGAGAAAGGAAAAAAAGGATTATTTTATTTCGCAATTATGGACTGTTGGATTAGATTGTAATCCAACGGTGATGAAAGGGGTAGACAAAAGGTAGGCAAGAAGGGAGTAGGTAGAATAACCTATCCCTTAAACTTATTAGTTCTTCTTCACTGTTATGAACTTTGTTATTATAGCTGTGAACATTAATTTATTAACAACTAATTGAGATTTCTCACATAATATCATCATTTTATAATTAAAAGATCCATTCCAATTTGAATGATAATTACTAATAACAACACATAATCATTTTTCTGTCGTTTTTTGTTGTGTTAATATTATAAGTGTAATAAAAATAAAAATATTAAAATATATTGTCAATAATATATATATATATATATATATATAATTTAAATAAAGTCTTTAATATTTTTATAGTGAATATAGATAAATTATCTATATTTGTTCTCAAAACGACGTTGAGTTGAAAAATTAAAAAAATATAATGAAAAAACTATTATAACCCTGAAATAAATTATAATAATAAAAATACCTTAATTTTCGCCTCAAAACGACATCATTTTAAACTTAATGTAAATAAATTATCTACATTGACGGTAGGAAAAAAAGCAAACCTATAAATAAAATTGTAATATTATTCAAGTATTTTAATTTTAGTGTTATAATGTTTCACAAGAAATTAAAAAGACGAAAAGTAAGAAAAAAGAAAAGAAAAAATTAAATATATATAATAAAAAATTAAATTTAAATTTAAATATTGTTGTGTATAATAAAATAAATATATAATTTTAGTCTTTTGGTTCACCTCAAATGCTGGTACACAGCGGAAATGAATGATTGAAATGATTGTGTCAGTTTGGACTATGATAATTTGACAATTTTGTATTTTATTTTTTGTCGTAGGGTAAGTGTTATTGACTGAATAAAATGTCATATCTAAACTTTAAATAAATAATTGTCTTATAAGAGTTAGTTGTAATAAATTTCAACAACTTGCTTACCACAAAAAAAAATTCAACAACTCAAAAAATAAAATAAAAACTCTTTTATTTTTAATTAAGAAAGATTCTTTCATAATTTTAAAGTTCAATGTTTTTATATTAATCTTTTAGGTTTTTTTTATAATAATTTTATTTTTTGGATGAGTTACAATTTCTGTACTAAGTGTCTTTAAATTTTATAAATATCATTTACCTTATATAGAAAAAACACGATAGAGAGAATTTGAGTATTCAATTGGTCCTTTTTTTATATATAAAATCTAAACGTCCGTTTGTATGGATTTTTGATTAAAAAAAAAATTGCGTATTATTTTCGGAAAAATATTAATTATTTTAAAGGGCATAAAAAGTAAAATGACCATATTTTGATATATATTTATTAATTTTTTATATTATTCTCTTTCACAATACTTTTTTTTTCTCCTCTTAATTTTCTGAAAAAAAGAATAAAACTAATAAAAAAACCAACAAATATAAATAAAACACTGCCATTTCATTTAAAATGATAGAAAGTTGTGCCTTTCAAAATGAGAAATATTTTTTCCATTAATTTTTTGAATGAGCTTTTTAAAAAGATTGAAAATCCATTTGGATGGACTTTTAAAAAAGGCATTTTTAATGCCTTGTTATTTTTAGAATAATTTTTTAAAAAATTTAAAACTTATTTATGTTTAGATGAATTCCATAAAAAATACTTTTGATTAAAAAAAGTTATTTGAACGTTAAAATTAATAAATATTTTTTATATATATATTAATAAGTGATATGAGAGTGGCGGGAGCAGGTTGGGACAAAATTAATTTTGAGAAAAATATGTGACTTTTGAAATCTACTTTTTTTTTTTCAAAACCAAGTACTCTTGATTTTAGGATTTTTTTATTTTTTAAAAAAGATATATCCAAATACACATGTTAAATAAAAAACAACTTTATTTTGAAAAAAAAAATGTATCTTGATGATCCAAATGCATAAGTACTAGTTTAATTTCAATTAGACAAGCGCTGAGATTTTTTTTTTAAAGTAAAATATTTCAGAAAATTCTTCACTTCTCGCATTTATCTGATAGTTAAATTATTTATTTATTATATGTCAATTGATAGAGTGGCTTGACAACTGTCCTTGAATTTTATTGGTTGTGTAACATCGAAAGCTTCATTTAATTGATGGATAGACAAACAAATTGGGAAAAGGTAGATTCCTTAACATAAAAAGTCATATTTAGCCAAAAAAAAAAATTTGCTTTTTTTGTTAGTATAAAAAAGTTTTTTTTAAAGAAAAGGGAGATATGGATCCTGTCTTAAAGATATGGATGGCTACTGTGGTGTGGTACCATGTTCAGAAGTATAGAACATGCAAAGAATAACTTGATTAATGAAAGAAAACTAGCTTTTCTTTTGAAATTTTGTTAGAGAGAATAGGATTCTCCTATAATCCCATAACCCATTCTTCGTTACTGGATTTCATCATTTTGTTGAATAAAATATAAGGAAATTGTTTTCTTACGTATCATAAGAATAAAATAATTTTTCTGACTTCCTCAGGATTCCAGATGAGGAAACTCTAGGAGAGCCACTGACTCCAACTACCATCCATGTACGATCCATACTAGATCTGACCAACTGTCCATCCAAGCTTACGCTCTGACCCGAGTAGCACGGGACACGTGGAATCCCGTGTGAATCAGCAAGGACCACCCTAAATACTCCTGAGTGACCGATAGTGAAGCAGTACCGTGAGAGAAAGGGGTTTTGGATTGGCCCCTCCCGATCGTATTTTGCCTGAACTAAAAGAAAAGATAGGTAATCTGTCTTTTCAAAGTTATCGTCCAACCAAAGAAAATATTCTTGTGGAGGAGGCTAAGTTTGCCGAAAGATGGTTATTGGTTAAAGGACGCAAGGTGCCCCTGCTTTTTCAGGGTAAGAAGGGGTAGAGAAAATGCCTCGAGCCAACGTTCGAGTACCAGGTGCTACGGCGCTGAAGTAACCCATGCCATACTCCCAGAGAAGAGAGAAGAGAGAATATATAAGAAAAAAAAAATATAAATAGGTCTCATCTCTTTATATATGTGTGCAGAAAAATTATTTTATCTTATATTATGTAAGAAAACAATTTCCCATAAATATATGGCAAAAGTTCAGCTTTTTAGACTTTGGTTTGGTCCCACCTTGTTTGATGGATTTGTATGTAATAACCTATGAAGCATCGACACTTCAAAATTCCTGACGTGTCGTGTCCGACACTTTCCGACATTCACCGACACTTTCTGACACTTCAATACTCGTTGCAAAGACTTAAAAAAGGTTCAAAGGTTACGTTGCGTTGCATTTTGAGTTCCAATTATTAGATTCGTTGGATTACGATTACTGTTTTATTGAGTTTAATTAAACATTTGGGATATCTTATGTTTCTTTGCAAAATTGATGGGTATTATAAGTTTAGCTTTAATTTTTTGTTAAATTATTGAATATTAAATATAATATATACTACATAAATTAAAATACTATTTAATATCAAAACGTGTCCTAACGTGTCAAAATTTAATATTTTTTAGAATTAACGTGTCAGAGTGTCGTATTGTGTCGTATCCCGTGTCCCGTGTCGGTGTTGGTGCAACACAGGTAATAACAAAGGGAAAAACATCTATCCTTTTAAATGATATAATCATA